CATACAAAAGTGATTATTTGCAATTAAGACAAATGCAATTAAAAAATATTTACCAATTGTAGTGTTTTCTGCAAGGTTAATAGATTGAGTATCCCAGTACTAGGAAGACAACTGAAGACAAGATTGTAAGGCTGAGTGCGTATTTCAAGTCCATGATTTATTAATCCTTGGAAATTCAGTTAGCCTTTTCCCCTGAGAAAAGCTCTTGGCTTTTAACAAGTTCTTTTATCAAAAGCCTTACTGGTTTCCAAGTCACCAGCTAGCAGAAGTGATGGCTTATCACAGTGATGTGGGCAGCTACCCAATAAGGAAGGAATCACGATTAGTTGGTTCTTTTTCTTTTAAAAGCATTTCCTTGCCTTTACTATTGACCTGTCAAGAGGTCCTGGCTGAGATCACAGCATAGCGTCTCGGTTTGGAACTCCCTTGATCTCTAGCAAAAGCCTGAAAATACTGTAATTGAAATATTTCATCACCAGAACTTTTTGAATCTTTTCATAATTCCTGAGTGGATAAGGTCATTACAATGTAAAGCAACTGACATGTGAATACAACTCTCCTGTGTACGCGAAGTCCCACATAAAACCATCCAGTGACTTCTAGTCACTTGAATTTTATGAGACAGAATAAGGAAGATAAGATAGCTAAAGCGTAGTGATTTCACATGAAAATACAACTTAGTACTGTAACACCTGAGAGAACATAAAAATTAAGTGGACAACAGCTTGAAAGTCTCCATCTCTCCCACGAGAGCTCGTACATATGAGCTAGAAAAAAATATAAAAGCTTCAGTAATTATATTGCATCCGACTGCTCTCTCCACCCCTTCAAGTAATATATTAAAAACTGAAGGAACACAAAAAGGTGGACCTTCTGTTCAGTTTTCTTTTTTTGTTTTGATTCCCACAATAACACATGGTAGAAAACTTGCAGACACCAATCCTTCCTCAGCTACACTATTACTGGCCAACATTATGTACTTTCACTGAAGTCAGTGAAATTGTAATGGTTTAGGTCTTGAATTACTGACAAGAAGGAGTAATTCCAGTATCCAGCTGTGTAACTTCTAACTCAGCTAAATTTAGTGAAAAAATAACCTAGCTAAAATGTAGAAAATCAGGCCCATAATCATGACGCCGGAAAAAAGGTGAAAGTTCAGATTTTGTGCTATCATGCGCACAAAATGAAGGATAAAGGCTTTAATACCTCTATCAGAGGTGGCTTTGAACAGCACAGGGCTCTTCTGCGGCTGCTGCAACAGTACTGCAATTTTTCCCTCCCTGATGATGTTAAAGAAATGAAGGGCAAAATGAGACTACCCTGATCTGTCCATTCCTTGTCATAGTTAAGAATGGGCACCAAGGCTGATTTTGTTCTCCTTCCTGACGTCTGCTCTATCACAGAAATAGAACAGTAAAAATCTTCACTGGAAGACTATAAAACATAGCTCTTGTGTAGTTTTTCTGTATTTTTTTCAGCAGTCTACTATGCAAGTTAATTTAGCTGTGTACAAAGTCGCTTATACTTTCACTCATACACACTTCACTCCTGTGTTCTTAGCAGACGCTGCATCACAAGTAAACAAAAACACCTTACACTTCATATGGAAAATGGAGCTACCTTGAAATTATACCTTGACCATTAAGTTTCTACTTCTTGAATAGTTTCGGGAAATAGGATTCTTCTGCTTCTGATTTGAGCAGCATTCACCTGTCACAGAAGTGTTTATTTCACATAGTTATGAAAGTAGTTTGTATGCAGGGTTACATCAGTGAATGGATTTAAGTCAGCTGGAAATGTGTGGAAAGGCAGCTTCAATACATTTGGAAAAGCTAACAAAAACTACAGTTAAACTAATAAATCATGTCTGAAAACACCAAGATAAAACTACTGTCATTTGATTGTTTTTTTTTTCCTCAACTATGGATACTAAAAAGCAATCATGGCATCTGTGCAACGGAGGATTGTCATAGTCCAACTCAGATTCTATATATAATATTCAAGTTTTAAAGAACCCACCAGGGAAACTACACAGCAAAGCTGAATATACAATTGAGTCAAAAATCAATTTCCTCTTATTTGAGTAAGGCTGTGACTATTCAGTAACCATAATATCAGTATCAGAACTATTAGGATTACATATATTTTAACAAGTCTGACTTTAGAGTAAAAACCACAAATGCTGGTTAAAGTCAATATTAAATTGGTTGTAATTGGCACTGTTTTTCTGACATTTCAATAGGTGTTGATTTAGATAAACCATTTATGTTGCTGATTTGAATATTTCAGTTTCAGATAAGCTGAATAGTATGGGTTTAGTTGCAACCAGAAGGTTTGTTCCAAACACAACATGGCATTTGTCTTTTCTTCACACGCTTACATTGATTTGGCTAAGAGCTATTCTGTAACAGAAGAATTGCCACCACTCCTTGTGACAATGCAGGACACGAGCACTTTTTTTCTGGACATCACCCACATAAACAACACTGACTAACTATCAAGAGTTATGTTGACACAACTATATTTAGGGTGAGTCAAAACGTACCAGTAAGCTTTAGTAGTATAGAACTGGCATGGTAATTAAGATGAGCTCAAGCTCTAATGAAGACACAATATTAATTTTTTTCATAAGAACCAGCAAAGCAGAAATTGGACTCCCTGGTGGTTTTCAACTTAGCCATGTAGAACGGAGTTCTGAAAAACAGGTCCTCCTCTGAGGTCATGCAGGTTAAAAATACACTTTTAATTTAATGAAGATGAAGGCTCCCCACAGAAGCTGTGGCTGCCCCATCCCTGGCAGTGTTCAAAGCCATGCTTTGTTGGAGATTTTTAGGCAAAAGTCTGTCAGTAATTGCCTGAGTAGCATCACTTCCACTGCAGTTATTTCAACATTATAGTCAAGGACCTCACCTCATTTTAATGCTGGACTGCAAGCACAGCAAGCTATCTAAGGTCAGTGTCTGATGAAATTATTATAGAAATGTTCACTTACTCAGTGAATAGCTCATGTAGACTTAGGACTGAAAACATGTGAGAACTGCTAGCTTTAAAATCCAAGACTTTTATTACACAATTCTGGATATACTTTATGCTTTTCTATTTCATTTTCCTAACTAGAAGCATCCTGACCTACTAAGTCTTTTCTGACTCTGTCTTACCTAATTAGTTGTTAAAGAGCTGCCTTTCCAGTGCTTTAGTGCAGACTACACAAGGTCAAACTAAAATGTCAGATGGGTCAACAATATTTAGTACTGACCATCTGCTAGCTATTCCTTTGTTTTCTGGACATGAACACTAAAGTCAAGTGTAACTGTTTTGTATCTTTATTTTAGGCACCTCTAGAACATTCATCATAGCAATAATAGTGAGTAGATCTTAATTTCTGCATCAGAAATAGTATTTTAACACATATAAAGGACATAATTCACTTTGCAAACCTTACTTTATTCTCTGAAACTGATTTTATCTCACTAAGGTTTCATATGGACATTTTCAGGTCCCCTTGCTCTACTGCAAAACTGATAAAGCCAGATATCAAGTAGATGCATCAAGATAATGCAGTACAGTAACAGGTGCAGTTTTTATCACAGGTGGTACATTTATTATTCTTTAAATTAACAGAACCATGTGAATGCCAAATTTCTTAATTACAAAAAAACCTACACAATTTTACAGTCTGATTATTAGCCATTTAGGCCCCTAAAAAATAAAGTACATGCACTGCAAAAGCTTGACACCCACACAGAAATTTATGACAAAGTATTTTTATAAAATGTTATACTTCTAAAACCAATTATTGTTGGAAGCCTAACTTCTGGTTGCTAAAAAAGCTTGAAAATGCAAATCCACTGGAAGTCATGAAAGCAGTCAAAAAGAACTAGAAATATGCGTCTTTCTCAAGCTTCTAATTTTTAGGCCACATAAAGGTCACTTGTTTCCTAAAATATGATTTTTTTGAATGCTTGAAATGTCAGTATTCTAAACACGTGAGACAGGATCACTAGTAAGGTATCAAGATTTGCTTCCGAGGCCCAGTCATATGTAAGGATTAGAGTGACAGAACTACCTAGGATGACAAGAACTCAGTACCCTGCACTAAATGCATGTGACACCTATCAGGATTCTTACTGCAGATCCTGAAGTATGAGAGAAGTGACCAAGCTAAGTGTAAGCAGCTTGGCTTGGAAGTAGAGAAAATTTGGCTTCAGCAACAGGTAACTATACGTGTGGAAACAATACGTACGCAGAAATGTTTACTGGGGCTGTCAAGAGCAATGGCTGCTGTGCAGGATGCATGGAATGTCAGTCCTCACTTCTACAGGCCCATGTACAGCCTCGGAAAGCAGTGGAAAAAACCTGGGGGCTGTCAGTACTGCCATATCACTAAACTTTATCCTTTTCTAAAAGAACTGAGTTCTATAGGGTTCAGCCTTCTTTGAACAGTCTTCCTTCACCAGCAAATCTGAGGCCTTATTCCACCATTTGTGCCTTCCAAGTACAGCAGTACTTACACAAAGCTCCGAATCAACTTGGTCAGATCATTTCTGCTCTTGTAAATAACAATTTGAACTAACTCACCTACCTCTACACAACAGTAAACTGTGACATGCAGTTATGCACAGTGAAATTAAGCTGGACCCAATATTCAAAGTGTTCAAAAGGGCCACATATTGCCTTTAGGACTGTTAAAAATTTCTATAGAAACAGTTTCTATAGAAGAGTAATTCAAAATTACAGAAAAGATTCCACTGTGACTAAGCAAATGAAAAGGGGGAATAAAAAGCAAAACTCCCAAAATCTTGCTTCCAAAATGAACTGTCAAATTCCTTTCCTATCTTCCTTTAACCAAGACTGAGAAACCACCTCATTAAGTAAGAAAGTTGAAGCATGTCAGAATCTGTTTTCAAAGAGATAATCAGAAGGTTTGGGAGGATGGACAACAGCATGCACAAAGAGACTAGGGAAGATTCCAGTAATGTTAATAACAACAAAATACATACTGTATTTTCTTTTGGAGTAGATTGTTTTCTCATTACTCTGTTCAAGTGTGAATCTGGAGTAATCTACATTAATAGCAGCAAATACCTGAAGCCAAGATTAAGATCCGTAAACAACATTTTTCATCAACTGCCACTGTAAGTCAATTCTGAGAAGCTACAATTCAGGTATGTAAACAACTAGAGTTTCCAAAGGTTGATGAAGCGATTATATTGCCAAATTCACATGCTTCTGCCTATCAGCCCTACAGCATACAATGGCAAGTTAAATGCCAGGTAAAATTTCATTGTTTTTCATTGTTTTCCTCCTTCCAAAGGTAAAGAAGAAATAGAGGTGACAATTCTACCTGTATTGAGTTCTTTAAATCCTTCCCCCCCTGCTTTTTTTTTTTAATTTTAGTTTCATAGTAAGTTTAACATGGAGCATTTTCTTGAACAAATAATCTAAAGGCTATGTGATCTTTTGTAGATAGTCCTAAGTAAAATTCTAACATTCTTACTTGATTTAATACCGAAACTCTTTGGGGTCAGAACAGGAGTTATTCTCACAGCCCTGGACAGAGTTTCAAGAATATGCTCTTTCAAAAGTATCTTCGTTTTATGTGCAGCCCTAATACTATTAAATATTAAAAAGAAAAAAGGTCTTGAACACATTGCATCTTGATTAATTATACTGAACGACTGTTATCAGGCCTGAACACTTGAGTTACATTAGCCTGATACTACCATCTCAGTATGCAAGTCTACCTAGTTATTTCTGAGCACAACTGCCATCCCCTTACTTTGCTCTGTATAATTCTTTTCCAGTCTGCTGTGGCAACTATGGGTTGGTATCCATGTTTTGAAAAACTGTAGGCACAACAAAGTTATGAACACTCACGATTCATACAGAAAGTTTCTAATTTCAAGCAGATACCCTCACATACTTCTGATGAACAAGTCAAAGAATGCCTGCGCAATGCATGATACAAAAGAAACAGTGTAAACTACAATTCAGACAATTCAGTTAAGCAACAGTTTTATAAGCAGGTAGTAACTGATGCTTATACTAAATAAGAAAACTAATGGTCCAGTTTGGAAATGAGATTGTGAGGGCTTTGCTTCTTTTCCCCCCCTAAAAATAAGCATTTCTTAACTCCAGCACGACACACACAGGGGACATCAGTCATGCAGTGCGATGTAAGTATCCTTGACATCAATTCCATTCAGGAAGGAAAGAAAATATTAAAAGCAGAGAATTAAAAGGAGACTTTTTTTCTTTAGAGAAGCATAATTAATGAAATTGTGGAAACATTTGATATACATAGGCACTCAGAAGTATTGGGAATCTGCTCTGTTCTCCACCACTGCATCCTCTCTTATTACATACAAGTCATTGTGATAAATCAGGGCTGACTAGTGGTTTTCTAGACACCACTAAAAATCCCATATTTTTAATACAAACATTATTTAGACATACAAAATGATAATTTTAACTGAATACAAAGAAATGTCTGTCAACACAAGACTAACACTGAAATCTAGCCAGACGGTCAAAAAACTTCAATATTCAAGAAAAAAAAGAAAGATCTAACTAAATTACTGCTAGCAAACACTCAAAAGAAACAATTACAAGAAAAATAATTTTTTTGTGTGTATGTGTCTTAAGATACCCTTCTGTATTCTGTAACTGGTATCAATTCACTGGTAGAAGTAACGTTCACAGATAAAACAATGAAATTTACTATTTGATTGTATCAAAATGTATGGACTGGACTGTATTTCAAACTGAAGAGACTTTAATTACCAGTATAAACCAAACCACTAGGCTATGATGTTCTTTTTGTCAAACAGATAAGATCTATAAACATAAATATATATTAACATACTAATCTATAAATTTACCTGAATGAAGAAATTTCCAATCATTCTGGCAAGCAAAGCTGACTGTGAAAATTTACTCCAGAACATTCAATATTACTTGGAGTATTTTATTAAAGCATGTAAGAAGTTTACGCTATTTATTATTTGAGCAAAATCAAGACTCTAAACTTAAAAAAGAAAGCCTAACATACTGACTAAAACCCTAAAGATTTGTGTTCTGATTTTTGAAAGGAAAAAAAACAAACCCAAATTCTGAAGACTTCTGGCAAAAACTTTAAAACAAAGATTTAGTGCTCTATTTGCAAGTATCCTAATATATATATATATATCCAAATATACATTCCAGCAAAGACACTGCAAATGAAACTCATTCAAAAGGTAATTAAGGCTTTCTACACATGGAACTGTTCCTGATTAATTCCATATGGGGCCATTCTTATTACAGAAGCACCTCATTCCATTTTACTTGAAACAAAGTAGTTTGTTCGGGAATCAGTGTTGCCCATAGATGGAATTAATCAGAATCATTGTAGACTATTTTAATTACTTGTGACTAAATAGGATTTAAGAAAAAATATAATCAAATCAGTAGGCTTTAATTCACAACAACCTTTGCTGGCCTAGAGGTCTATCTGCAGGGATCTTCCTGTGAGAGCATCTTAAATTAAGTATCAGATTAAAAAATATTGATTAGTAATGAGTAGTATTTTGGCCTTTTCCAATAGGTTTAGGAAAAAAAAGTAAATACACTGTAGTGAAAAGACACAAAAGTCTCAAGTTCCTGAATAAGGGCTTTTTGGTTTCAGGCTTTGCAGCTGTCTCCCTCCTCTCACTTCACAAATAACCTGGTCTTAGCTGAGGGTCAGGACTGTCTCATAGTCCACAGTAACTGCATGACAAAGATTACATCAGAAGATGGCACACAGGACTGAAACCTCTCTCTTTTTCTCTGTCTTATGCAAGGGAACTTGTATGCCACATCAACAGCCCCTCCTGATTGTGTCATACAAGAGTATCACCTTGGCTTTGTTCTGACACAAAGGATGGAATAAGGTGCCTCAGCATACTTGCACTGAAGTGAATGAAAACTAAGTTTTCCCGGAAGGGTTTCAGAGAGCTCAGGCCACAAGACTAGTACTGCAGACAACACAACAGCATCATCACCTAGTCTTTGGGGCATAACATAAGTCTAGACTAACAATACATTTGTAAGACTTTTACATAGCCCATTCTCATACTTGCCATTGTTTCCTTTGATTCAAACATTTCTGAATGCTTGAAAAGCGATGCTTTGGTTGCCTATTCAGATGACTGATCACCAAACGATAATGTGATCCTGTGGAGAAAAAAAGCTAAGAAAGAAAAAAAGTGAAGTGCACTTTGGTTTTTTTATAACCCTAAACACATCAGTTTTATGACAGATACACAACGATAACCCTTATGCAATCAATACCCTACATAGTTCATTAGTATATGATTCTCACCTGGTAGATTGTGAAGGATTAGGAAAATTCTCTCAAATCAGGTGTACTTCGCAGGGAGTGAATGACTTCTAACTTAGTGAGTACCAACACTGCAACAGACAAAACACGGCATAACACCAGAAACTATCTGAACATTGTTGTTGGCTTCCTTTGGCAAAAGCACATTTAGGAAGCTATCATCCTTCCTATACAATTCTAGCTGCTTTAGAAAGCAGGCTTATGTATGAAGTTTGCAAAAGATTTCATAGGTTTAGTGTGAGGTATCCCTGCCCATGGCAGGGGGGTTGGAACTAGATGATCTTAAGGTCCTTTCCAACCCTAACTATTCTATGAGTCTATGATTCTATGATTTACTTACACAGCAAGAATGTTTATCATAATATGCTTGCTATACAGACGAAAATGTAAGTTTGTTTGTTTGTGGTGTTTTTTTGGCAGTATATATGTCTTCGCTATGAATTCTACTGAAAATGCAGTTGTATTAAACAAGCAACTTGGATATTGCACCTTATTTCTCCTCTAGTTTTCTAGTTCAGCAAATGGGCCTTGCTACCCATTTGTCATGTAGACGTGAACTTTGTTTACATCACTTGACTTTGTTGGTATGAGCAGTACAAGGGTAGCTTTACCAGCAAACCTGTCAATTGTACACAGTCATATGTAAATAATCCTCAACTATTCAGTATGGCGTCTGTAAAAGGTCTGTAGTTACTGTTCTAATAGCCGTTAAAGGGCTCACTCAATTCACTATTAGCTCTCGAATAACCAGTGACAACTCAAATATCCTACTATTGACTGTTTAACTCTTTGTAAGAAAGAACACAGCAGTGTTTACTGTAAATATTCCATTCCAGTACTGAGCTCAGCAGGTGATAAATATCATTCACTGTCTTCCTTCTTGCTTCAGTCAGGAAGATGTCAGCCTAATGGCATCCATAAATAAGGTCTAGCAGCCTCATACCATAACAAATGCTGCCGTTTGGTGAATAGGGAAAGGTTTCCGGTGACTCCTTACATGACAGGTGGCACATCTTCCTAAAGAAGCTTTAATCCCTGTTCCAGCAGGGAGGAAGCGTCCTACAGTAAACTGATGTTGCAAAGGAAAGAGTTCAAACCGGTGTTATAAGCTCTTTTACCCTAAGAATGGATCAGCTATTTTGCTTCCAAAAACTGAATGTAGGTTCTCATCCGCTGTCTACAAATGCGTTAGTCAGCATTGGTGTGAGGAACTCACTGACAGGTATTTAAATCAAGACATAGTTTTCCTTACAGGAGCAAAAATGACAAAGATCCACTGCAGTTTTTTCCATCTTCTTCACAGCACATAGGATAGAAACTTTCAGAGACAGTAGAATCTGGTTTTCTTGAATTTAAGAGAATAATAATCCCACTAAGCAGAGATCAGTGCAACAGGAAGCCAATACCTTCAGACAGAAATCAGGACCAAGATATCTAAGAGATCACATGATACAGAAGTCTGTCGACTTTAAGCCATAGATGAAGACAGCCCAAATCAGAAAGGCTTGTCAAGATTCAAAATACAAGCAGACCTCTGCAGATCCAATGTACTAAGTTTTCTTTTCAAGGTTTCCCAATTTTATACATCAGTGTACAAGAGTCTGATGTGCATCTAAGATTGCAGCCCACTATTTCAATCATGTCAAATGCCTATGGGATTTTTAATCTGTGGTCAGAAATAAAAAGTTCAGAGCATTTCAAACATATACTGTAAGCAGCATTTTGGATTAAGATTTTGCATAAGAGGTTTAAAAGTACTATTGACACTTTCTCAGTTTTATTCACTTCAGTAGTTTTTATAAAAATAAAAATAGGAAAAACCAAGTTGTCGGGTTTATTTCATCAAATATAAAATGCAGGTTCTGTGGAAGTTGTTGCTTTGTTGCTGTCTTGGTTGAAATTTAGGTAATAAGGAATTAATTAAAACCATGTAGGAAAAAGGTATCTTTGGAGTCAGAGGCATAAAAGGATAAACAGTTTAGTTCTCAATAGTACTGAACTAGAGGAGGATTTTTAGTGTTTCTCCAGACAAAACTATCCACAGTACATAGTGTACCACATGAGAACCCATTAGGCCCTGAAGCACAGTGAAATCTTTCAGAAGCCAACAGCTGCGCAAAAGAGGTGCTCAATCAGGGCCAAGGCTGAGTTGAGAGGATTCTGTAAGCCATAAAGGCTGGCATCCCACTCAAGAATATACAGAAAAGCATTAAAGGATGCTGCTTTTTCTTCCTCCTCTTTTGATATAGCAGATTGAAGGGTGCTTCTCTGCAAGTATGTGACAAGATGACATTATTAATGCCATCAAACAGTGAAACTTGTGGATGGACAGTATTCATTCTATTTGTCACTTCTACCTTCTACATTCTGTTCTTTTAACACAAGAGGCACAAAGGTGAAACTCCCTGAAGGGACACTGCTCCTGTCATTGCAAGCAACTCTCATTCCTACCGTGCTAAGGAAGAAAAATGTTCTGAGTCTGTAGGGTTAGAGAAAAGACAGAATAATTTACAGCACACCCAAGCAGACAGCAGAAAAGCAGACATTCAAACTCTTCTTGCAATGAAAAAACTCTTCCTAGAAACTAGAGATGTGTACAATTTGTTACAATTCAGAGCAGCCCTTGCCTGTCCATTCAGTTTCAGTCAGCTCTGTAGCTTCTCACCTCCTAATAAAGCTGATTTGTGGAAACACGGGATGGCAATGGGAGATTGTTTGTGAACAACTTCAATTTCTG